CGGCCATTAAGCTGCAGGCGAGCTTATGCTCTAACGACTGCGCGCGCCTTTTATATTACACCGGTATATACCGGTGTGCTGCACGGGTTAAAGGAAAATGCGCCGCTTCTTCGCTCTACACATATATACCTACGAGTTAATTCTATTGATTTACAGGTTTGTAAAATGAAACTGCTAATGAGCTGAAAATAATGGTATAAGCTACGCGGCGCAGTAATTCAATAACAATGTCTCTCCTCCTCCACCGCCGCCGCCGCTACTATGTATTATAGTTTTCGCAATCTCGGACCGAGTATTGCCGGAGCTAAATAACTCATCTCTCCCTCTCTCTCTATCTATCGTCGCTTTTCGATACCCGCGCCTGCAGTGGGTATATAAATAAATAATTTCAAGTGGCCCGCACGTATCACGAGACGATATGATCGCGCGCTTATAACACACATGCGGAGGCTAAAACGCGCGGGCCTCTATAAATGCGAAGCTCGCTCCTCTCGTGAATGACACTGTATAGCTGGCATAGAGACAGAGAAGCAGCAGCTTTTGGCTCTATATCTCGCATACTAATGAGAGAGAGAAAGAGAGACTAGCGGCGTCACAAGAGAGGCCGAGGGTGACATTCAATGCCCATCTATGCAGCTTTAGTATTTCGCCCCGCGCGCCGTATAATAGTCCATTTCATGGCCTTCGGAGACTCGAGCGTATAGAGACATACACATACAGAGAGCATCAACGGGAGTAATATCTTTCGCATTCGGCCCCTCGAGCGCCAACAGCAGCTATGCTCTCTCTCTCTACTCTGTAATATATAGTATTATACATAATAAGCTTCTATATATCTGTGCCTCTCGCGTCGCTCGCGCCTGTGTCGAGGCTTGGATAGCAGCGGCAGCGTCTTATCACGAGGCGTACACCTGTCAATTTGCGCAGCGTATTACAGCTCGACTCGGGGCTACACACTACGGTACTCCTACGGCAACGTACGCGACGCTTTGGCATTTTCGACGTTATTATACACACACACATACGGAGTCTATACGAGGCATATCGAATTTCATTCGCGAGCCATGAAACTGCATCTCTTGCTCGAGCGGGTTCGCGTATACGTACACTTCGGAATTATAAAGTTTAGAGCCCGAAGTGAAATGCGGTGTATAACTGCGCGCATCGATTGTTTATGTATGCTGTACAATGCCAGTTCGAAAAGGGGATGCACACGTGAACGTATGAATGAATAAATAAACAAGTATAAAGTGCCATTTTGGAGCCTCGAAATCGAAAATAGGTTTCTCCGAATGGAACGAGAGATCGGCTAAAGTAAGAAGGCAGTTCTCTTCTTCTTCTTTCCTTTTTTTTTTTTCATCGGGCAGAGAAAAGTTTTTGAGCGCACCGCCGCGCGTTCGCGACTGCACAAAAGTAGTCCAGTGGCGGTATGCCTGGTCATGCATCGAGCGCGCGATAGCTCTCCCTCTCTTTTACTTGTCCTCTAGCCGGCCCCCGCGCCGTATCTAAAGTGCAAAAGTCCTCGCGGTCAATCCTCTCGTAAATCCCGAATCTTATTTATGGGCACTTAAGACCACCTTTAAGATCGTGTGTAGATGTCTGTGCGGGTGCGCGGAATAGCTAGGTGAGCTCTATGTGTCTTTTCAGTTTCGTTTTCCGAACGAATGTGCGCTGCAGTTCGATGTCGAGCGCGCGCGCGTGCACTACACTGCACCGTGGACTATTGAAAGTTAAAAACAATTCCTCCACGGGTAGCGGAAACTTTTTTTCGAGATACCCTAGCTGTATACAATGAATATATATGTGACGATGTCCCGGTGTTTTAGGACATTTTTTAATAATTTGTTCGTTATCTATAAGAAATTTAAACTTTATAAAATAAAAAGTTAATACGTTTTGTTGAAGTCATTCCGACTTATTGAAAAAAAAAATTGTACTGTACACTAATAGTAAAGACGAGCGCGGATTCCATCCATTAGCGCCTTATCTGCAGAATACACGATCTCAACAGGAAACGCGCAGGCACATAAGTACACGCGCCAACTACATTAATAATTTCGTAAGCTCTCGCGCGCGCGAGTATAATCAGCGAATGCGATTACGAGCTAGATAAACGATTTTTCGCGTACTTTGCAATCCTCGCTCGCACGTAATGCCGCTGTGCGCTTTTCGACCCCCAAATTCCAAAATCATGACGCGGGGGGCAGAGGAGAAAACTCAATTCTGGACTGCATAATCCAGCTTTGCACGCGGTGGCGGGGGAGGACTTGGAAAACGAAGTACCAGCACCCATGTGTGTGTGTGTGTTGCTACTGCTGCTCAAAACGAGTGAAACTGGCTCGAAAAGCGCTCGGAACATACAACGCCGCCGCCGCTTCGTTATGGAGTTTCGAACTGTTCCGGCGCGCGGGGGCCTGCTATAGTCTGATACCGTTGCGAGAAAGGAAATACTACTGCAGGCTGCAGTGCACGGCTGGATGCATTTGGAATCTCGTTTTCTAACTCGCGCGCTACAGTTACGCTACTTAGCAGTTTGAACCTTTTGCCCGGCTCGTGTGTTTCTGCGCGTTAGCTTTTTTTTTGCTTTTTGCGGTAACTTTTGTAACACCTCGCAGTGCCCGATTATACTCAGAGTTCAAGACAATTATATGAAATTTTCGAATATTTAAATGTATTTTATTTCATCAATTTCAAGTACAGCTAATTTAAGCTCTACGATTTTTTTTAACAGAAAAAAGTGATCCTGGTAATGGTAACATTTCAGTAGAGTTAAGATGATTGTGTAGGCACATTTTCCTTGATTGATCATTTAAATTTCATGAATGGTCTTACGGCCCTTCGTTCGCAAATGTTGAATGAACTTAACGTCGATTTATTAAAAGGCATCAGCGTCAAAAATTGTGCACAAAGAATAGAGAGAGAGAGAGAGAGTTTTTTTGCTTAACAAGGGCACCATCTTAAAATGTTTTATCTTTGAAAAAGCTAGCAGCGCGGCAGAGGAAAAGCCTCGCAGTCAAAAAAGAAATAGCTCATTAAGCTCTTGTAGAAAGAGAGCAGTAGCAGCAGCAGCAGCGGCGGCGCGATGAGCGACGAGTACACGCAAACGTCTGCTACGAGAGCACGAGAGAGAAAAGAGCGCCGAAGCTTTGGAATGCCGACGATGCTGCTTGCTGCTGCTGCTGTAACACGACTACAAAATGAAGATGAGGCGAAAATCGAAAATGTAGAGTATCACATCATACAGACGCGCGCCGCTACACGATGGAAAGACGAGAAGCTGCTGCTGCTGCTGCTGCTCATGCTATATACTCGAGGCGCCCCTACCTTAAAGATGCAACGCGAGCTTTATACATATTTTCAGAGAAGAAAGAGTGAAAGAGAGAGAGAGAGAGAGAGAGAGAGAGAGAGAGAGAGGCGAGACGAGACGCTGCTGGAGCTTCTTCCCTTCTCTTTCTCGACTTATAGATGCAAAAAGCTTCGTGGGCAAAAGGGAGCTGCTGCTTGCCTCGCTGGCTGCTGACTGTAGATCAACATTTGAGAGTAAGACACAGAGAGATGGCTGCTATATGCGTTGGGAAATTTACAAGTGCGATTCCATTAGTTTTGCGAAAGTGAGAGAGAGCGAGACGTTCCGTGTTTACTGCCGGGCACGCGATTTTTCATACGGCATATAGTTTTATATCCGTTTGCGCGTGAACGCGTACAGAAAATCGATCGACGCGGCCCAATCCTTCCGAGTAATCGTTTAATAAGGTTAGGAATAACGTCGCTCAAGGTTTCAAGGTGCGCAGCAATTTTTGGTGAAACAAAGAGAGAGAGAGAGAGAGAGAGAGAGAGAGAGAGAGATGCTTTAAAAATATAGCTCTAATTGTACATCCATCACATTGTTTCTTAATTTGCCGAGGATATTCTCTGTCTCGTGCAATCCAGCAGCTCAGCTCTCTCTCGGAATGCCTCCGACATCGAGCGGCGCGCGAATGCATTTTTTATTGGACAGCCGTCGCTCTCGTCCGTCGAGACAGCTCTCAACGGACGCAGCCGACTACTACTACCGCTGCTATACTACTCTCTCTGCCTCTCGCATCCTGCACAGGAGCCAACGCGTTACGCCCGAGCAGTTTGTTTCAGCCCTTCGCTTCTCTTTGCCTCTCTCTCTCTCGAATGTGCGTGTATATATACCTGCGCCATTGCTGCTGCGATAGTAAGCGATCGATGTCCGCGCAACGTCTAAATTACCTACACACCGACGTGTACGCAAAAGCGAAAAAAACAAAGCGCTTTGCGATCCCTTGACGCGACCATTAAACGAGCGATTTGCCTTCCGAGAGCGTGAGAGAGAGAGAGAGAGTGTCGACCTTTCTCGCTGCGCCTTGAATTTCCTCTCTCTGCGCCAGAGATTTTTTATCCATAAATCCGTGCATAGAGGCGATTCGAAGCTTCGAGCGCGCGCGTACGTGATCGTACGCGTAAATTAATCGAAGCCGAGCGGCGACGCACAAGCGATTTTTTCACTTAGACGATTTAAAGTGTCGCGTGAATATTTATAAACTAAAGTTAATATTGTTGCAGCGAAAATTCGCTAGATGAAATATCTTAGTTTATTGCGACAACAATTTCATGTTCATTTGTAATAAAAATAGAAATGTAAATAATATATCGGTATCTAGTGTTATGATTATGATTATTGTTATGATTTTTTAATTTCTCATCCAGTTCATTGACTTAGTTTATTATTCAATTGATGTGTTAATTGACTTATTTTCGCATAGAAATTTTTCGACAAAATTGAAATACTTTGCTCGGTACCGTTATTCTTTGATATCAAAATAACATAACTGACCAATATTTTTCTATAAATAACGGGTCAATCGTTATGGCCTCAGCATCTATCGAAAATAGATTCAAAGATTTTGAAGAAACCCGTTTATACAGGAAATGGTATTATCTACGTAGTATTCGCGAGTGATCTACAGTTACTTGAAACATCGATGATATAAAAGAGCTCTCTAAAATCCATCCTATATAAGCGATTGCGGCAATTTTTTTTCTTTAGTATTCAAGTTTTGATCACCGGAGAACCATGAAATTAATAATAGCGATAGTTTTGCTCTCCGTGGCCAGCGTAAGTAATCATTAATTGTTACTATTTTTAGTATCAAAAAATAATCAATAATTTATGCAAACAATTTTTTTACTCCAGCTTGGTATGGCGGTCACCGATGACAGGCTAAGGCGAAGGATTTATTCTACCCAAAGACTTATCGATTTGAAACTTAACACTGCTCAAAATGTTATTCGCGGAAAATTACAATATGCTGAAGTAGTGGCCACAAAAATGACAGGACAAGTTGATTTTTTAAACGATACCTCTCCACTATTGAGTCATGTTATCGTTAGTTATCATCGTTTAATTATCAAATAAATGAAAAAAAATTATATGAACTTACCAACGATTATCTATGCTTTCAGATCGATGTTAAACTAAATAAGACCATTCAAAGAGGACAAAATAAAAATATAGATGTGTCGCAATGCATAATTCCTTTGAATGAGCTGAAACAACAGGCACAACAAATTCAATCTGACGCAAGAAAGTGCATAGAGCAACAAAGAGCAGAGGAAAAAAGCATGTTAGATAAAATTAAAACCATTCCTGTACCCTTCAACGAGGAGTTGAAACGAATTAGAGAAAAATTGGGAAAATGCAGGGAAACTTCAACTGAATTGCTGCAATCTCTTACTTGTTATTCTACGGTACGTGATATATATATTTTTTTGATTCGTCTTCTATTGTCAGTTTAATAAATTATTTGGTTGTACTCTTCAGATCCTGGCGGAAATTGACGCATTGAAGATTAATCAATTTTTCATGGTCAAAAAAGATATAATGCAATTAATTGCTGATATGAAAAACTATTCCATAAAGATATTCAAAACTTGTTATACCGAACGTGTACACGCGATTACTCCGAGCCAACTGCTCAACGCTATCACGCTCGTTGACAGGTGCATCTTGAATGAGTCAAATAATCCTTCTGGGGAAACTACTACTCCAGAGTCTGTCACGGAAATGGCAACTTATTTACCGAATTCCGATGATGATGCTGAGACTACGACACCTTTTGATGAAGAATCAACTACCCCTCAAGATGATTCTTATGCAGAAGGTTCTGCTACCGGTATGCCTGAATCTGAGTCTTCTGGAGAAGCTACAACCCCAGTTGCGGCTATGGTAGAAGAATCCCCTGCTCCAGTTTCGGAAAAGCTTAAAGAAACCGTGACTGAAAAGGTCGCAGAAGCTGTCACTCCAGCTGCCCCAAAAGTCGAAGATCCCGTGACTCCAGCTGCCGAAAAGGTCGAAGATCCCGTGACTCCTGCTGCTGAAAAAGTTGAAGAAACCGTCAGTGCAGCTCCCGGAGAAGAGGAAGAACCACCATTCAAGATAGTTCCTCAAAGTGTCGGCACATACGAAACTCTACCCGACGGTACTCCAGCTGTTGGAAAAGAAAAGACTGAAACGATGGAGGAAGTTCCAATTGAATAATAATAAAATAATTATAAAGTGTACATGATTTTTTTCAAATTTAGAATATGTTATGTAGTAGTATTTTAGATTGTAATATAATAGAATAGGATAGAATAAAAAATTTAAAATAAAAATGCATACATGTAATATTTTTCTTACTCAAAATCCATTACATATTTTTGAAATTATATATTGCCAATATTATTCTGAGCAAATGCCGTTGCAATTCTAAAATAGGCGGATTTCCAGGTGTTGTATGTACTTTGAGCCGTTTTGCTATCGGTCATTAAATAATTTCAAATTTTTTTCTTCATCCCATGCTCGAAAGTACGTACTTTCATTTTCAAATTCGGGGACGAAAGTAACACTTTTGCTCCCTGTCAATATCGCGCGAAAGTTGATATCTCCATGACTACGGCAACCTACATTTGAATTATCGTTTGGTTTCGACTATGCAATAGATGAATTGTATTGATTTATTTTATGACGTGTATATGCCAGATTGATTAACTATTGTAGTACCATAATTTGATTTACACATTTCATTACATTTTTATAATATATTTTAATAAATTCTTTCAATTTTAAACGTTATTCTTGTTCACTCAAGTTTCTACTCGTCTACTCAGATTGAGTAAATTACTTAATTCAAATTTTCAAAATTTTACAAAATAAATATTTATTTGAATACAACTTTAAATCGAGTAATACTCTCAATTTAATTAAAAATATATAGGTGGGACACAAGAAGAAAACATATGGTACTAATACTTTCATGCTTATACTTTACGGGATCGTTTGTACTTTATTAACACGATAGTTATCTATCTTTTACAATTATTTACTAATAATTTTATGTACTAATAAACATTATTATTGATGATATTTGTTCCAAAGCCCGCCGTCAACCAGCAGCCCTCGCTGCGCTCGGGCCACAAATGTCGGCGGGCTTTGCCATGTAAGCGTAAGTTCATAAATACAATTTGTTTTAATAAAATATTCCTTAACTATGTTAAATAAACGTACTTTCGAGCGGGGATAAAGAAAAATCGTATACGCGACTCGGGACAAAAGTCAAACGCCCGTCTCTGCGAGCTTGGAAGTTCGACTTTCGTCCCTTGTCACGTAATATACTATTGTGCTGCCCCAACCTAAAGTAACATTTTACTTCCGCTGAGCAAAACTAAGATGTTACTATTTTACGCTCGACTACTGTCAGCACTAGACAATTCATAAATATTTTATGCTAGATGAGTCTGAAAATAATTTTCATAGGGCAATTAAGTAAATTTACTTTTTCTTGGTTACTTTGAATGGTATACAAATGTTATGCATGCCAAACAAATTTTTATTTGTGTTAAATTATTTGTATCCAATCAACTCTTAAAAGAATAATATACGACGTGTAATTGTCATAAAACTTAAAAGAATGTAATATAACAATAGGCTGGCCTTAGTAACATTCAGTCTCGTAACATCAGCTCGTTTCTTTCATATCCGTCGAATTTAGAGCTAGGTTCGACAAAAAATCGCGAACGCTGACGACTCACTTATTTTAAATAAGTGCATCTATTTTAGCAAAATTATTTTCGTAATAATTTCGGTAATATTATATTCAATTGATTAATTTTTGAGGACAATAAGATTATTTTTATTTAAAAAATGTAGAGTTCGAATGCAGTAAGGACAAATGTCAACGCAAAGCCACTAATCACTGAAAGAAGATAATTACACAATGATAGAGACCAATAAAAACTCTTAAAAATTGAAGAGATAAGTAATCGTTTTTGCAAACAAATACGATTATACATGAATGAAAACAGATCATAGTATGTCCAAGTATTCTTGCATATAGTAACAGTATAGACATTTCATGTTTTTAGTATAAACATTTTATTTTATTTATTTATACATTCTTCTCTTAAAATCTAATAAAAAATTATTTACAATAGGCTGTTAGTACATTTTATTAAGTCTTTTTTCAGTTGAGGTTGCCTCATTTCTTGTAGTCATTTAGGATGATTCAGCGGGGGTTTCAGGAGCAGCAGGTGCGGCCGCGGATTCCTCGGCTGTTTCAGGGGCTGCAGCAGCTGCAGGTGCGGCGGATTCCTCGACCGTTGCAGGGGCGGCAGGAGCTGCAGGTGCGGCGGCGGATTCCTCGGCGGTTTCAGGGGCGGCAGGAGCTGCAGGAGCGGCGGATTCCTCAGCCGTTGCAGGGGCAGCAGGTGCGGCGGCGGACTCCTCAGCCGTTTCAGGGGCTGCAGCAGCGGCTGGAGCGGCAGCCTCTTCAACCTTGTCAGCGGCTAAAGTTGTTGCTTCTTCGACAGCTGGTGTAGTTTGTTCAGCAGTGTAAGCAGCACCGCCAGTAGGGCGAGTAGTAGTAGTAGTAGTAGTAGAAGCAACAGTAGTGCTAGAACCAGAAACAGTAGTGCTGGAACCAGAAGCAGTTGTGGAAGATCCAGTGGAAGTAGTTGGAGCGGCAGTAGTGGATGATGCAGTGGCTGGTGCAGTTTTGACGCATTTGTCGGCTAATCTCATGGCGTTGAACATTTGAAGGGTTGGAGTGGCCAGAACGCGTCCAGGGAAGCAAGTGTTGAACATTCTCCTTGGGAAGAAGGTCATGTCAGTGATCAATCCGAGAAGTTGTCTCCTGACCATTGGCACTTTGTTGGTTGTCAATACTTGGATTTGAGCAAGGGCCTATGGAGAATAAACAAATTATTAATGATAAATCTAAATTATGAGATGGTGTAATAAAAACGTGTACTTACGGTTGAGTAGCAAGTGAGGGTTTGGATCAAATCATTTGGAGTTTGGTTGCATTTTTCGGCATCTTTTCTATTCTTTTCCAATTCTTCGTTCATGGGTCCAGAGATTGTTTTGACATTATCAGCCATGGTTTGACCTGCAGTCTTCTGTTGATCCAAGCATTTCACACCGTCGGCTCTGGTTTGTTCAGCTCGTTGCTTCATCTCGTTCAAGGGAGCGACGCACTGAGACACATCTACATTGTTTCTCTGACCTCTTTGATTGATTTCGTCAACTTTGCTGTTGATCTGAAAATGAAAATAGTTGCAAAAATTAGAAAACATTTTTTTCTCTCGTCTATTTGACGTAATTGATTTTTCTTACTTTGTTGACGTAACTCAGAGAGTTGTTTAATTTTTCGTAGCTTCTCTCGATTTCGGCCTGCATTCTGGAGGCTGTGAGTTCGGCATATTGGGTTTTGGCACGGAGAAGATTTTGAGCAATGTTGAGCTGGGTATCGATTGCCCTTTGTCTGGCATAGATTTGCAGCCTGAGCGCAGCGTCAGTGGTTGCCTGACTGAGCTGTAGTGAAAAATAATTTTAAACATTTCAAATAGTTATTAAAAAATAAATTTATATGTATTTTTGGTACTTACGCAAACCAAAGACAGTAATAATACACCAATTGCAAAATTCATGTTGATGTTTCTTGAAAGGTAGAAACTTTGTTACTGACTAAACGACGGTGCTTCGGCCGCTTATATAGGTAAGATTTCAAAGCTTTTGGCCATTATCAAAGCCTCAAATAAATATTGAGCAGCTGCGAATACTATTTCGATAATTCTATTTGCTATCAAAAAATCATGTCAGCTATGGTAGTGGTAAGAATAATGTAATCTATAAGTAATACTTTTGCGCGTATAGAAAAAAACTAGTAAAATCATATAAACATATTTGACCCTAATTGTATTAAGTGCACGGGAAGGAATACTTTTATCGAAATAACTACTCAAAGAATGAAATGATATTTCCCGTAAAAAATAAAATTGATTATTAATTGATAGTATCTGTAAAGCAACCTTTTACATCATACTTATTTACATACTCTGTTTATTTCATTTCATTTTCCTTATATTTATTTTTAATTAATTGACAAAATGACTTTTCAGTTGAACATTTATGATAATTGCAAAAATTAAAATTGCTATAAAATCACGAAATAATTTAAATAATGAAAACAAGATAATGTTCAGGAATTATTAAAAATTATTTGTTAGCTTTCGTATTTGGTAAAACAAAATTATTTGTCTTTGAGTATACATGTAAACACAGCACAATTAAAATGTAGTCTCGTAAAGATAATTAAAAATTTAAAGTATAATCGAATCAAAAACTTTTTTTAATCTGCATTTTAATTCTTTTGATTAAAGTTGCATTAATACATTCAAATGATTATTTAAAATTTAAAGCTAGAAAATTGTAAAATCATTAACTTTTAGTTTTAGAATTTATACAATTTTAATAGTAACTGATAAAAGTCGTAATGTTTTAAGTTATTAGACCAAATGGAATTAAAACTTGGCTCACAGTAAATCGAGTTGTAATTACAGATGAGTAATATGATTCACATCCAAATCTTTTTTCACTGATGATATTTTTTTCGATCAATATCATTATAACTAAAAAATCTGCCAGATTTGTGACGAAAAATCAAAATAAATGCGAATCGGAAAATTTGAGTAAGTATTACATTGGCGTATCGTAATTAATCACTTAAAAATGAAATAATATTAACTTTTCATCGATAAGTAAAACGAAAATGTTCAAGAAATTATATCATTTGTTGATCTAACGTGTTTCAACGTTACCTGCTTTATTAGAATTACTTGTAAAAGCGAATGTTCTATAATCCTAATCATTAACCCTTAAACTTTAAAAAGGGTTGTGATTATCAAAAGCATAGTGCTGACATGCTAGGTAAGCTTTACGTCAATATACTAACGGAATTTCAAATTAGTCTTATGCATAATTTGAAAAAGCTCGAATGCGAAACCCAAACGTAAGTCAAATTAGAGATTTAACATGTACCTGAGAAAACTGAAAACATCGTCTCGTCGTCGAAAATTCATCTCAAGTTCAATGAACTACACTCATTTTTACATTCATATTGTTACTGTATGCAGCTTTCACCATTTATTGCTGTAAGATTTTTAATAAATTAAAGTGGATAAAAAATTTGAAAATTAAGCTTGATTATGTGCGTAAATTTCATGATTTTATTTACGAGAAAAAATACCATTTTTAGATCTAATTGTCGGATAAAGAAATAATTCAGAGCTCTCAGTGTAATTTCAGTTTGAATTAAACATCTAAAATGTTTAGTAACAGTGGATTAACAAATTCCGCTTTCTCCTTTCTTCACCGCGTACGCATCGATATATCCGAAGCGTGTAAGTTAGATTGAAGCAAATTCGATATTGCAAGCAGCAACTCAGCCGTATCCAAGAGAGGGAGAGAGCGAGAGGGAAAGCCTGGTTTGAAATGCGAGCTAAAGCCTCGTTAAATCAAGTCTGTATCCATGTACAACGATATAACCCGCTCTATATCTCAATTAATGAGAGACTTTTATGCAGTTCTAATGAAGAGACTAGCTATGACCCTTATATTTCGAATTACGTCAGTCATTAGCAAGCCAATATTAACGCGACTGCAATATGTTTTTTTTGACGTTTTTTTTTCTTTAAGATTTTCTCGTCACAAGAAACAATGAATATTTTCTAATCCGTATATATATTAGGGGAAAAAATGAAAAAACTTGGAAATATTGGTTAGGATACGATTTTTTCTTATATAATTTTAGCAAATTCGAATTTTACAATAACAAAACCGGATTCGAGGAAATTCACAGCATACGTATTCATTTTAAGTATAGTATTCATAATAAACATACGAATTTCATATTGATGGCAGTTTAGAGTTTTGATAAGAACGTGACAAAAGATTCTATTAATTAGGTAATTGTGAGATTTAACGAGAAACTATTCTAGAACAATAGTAAAAAAATAATTGGAGCACGAAGTACAATCTATTTGTAAAAAAATTTACAATGTCAACAAAAAAAAATACACGTGGTGTAATGTATTATGAGAGTTTCTAAGAGGCGAATAACGCTTATCTATTATAATTCTGCAAAAGAATCGAATTGACACTCCTTATCTCTAACTACCACACTGGGCGCGCGAAGCAGAACGTGCACGCGTCGAGAGTATAGTTTTTTTTTATCGAAATCTTTTAGCTGGTTTTTTTTTATTTATTTACATACATCGAGGTGTCATAAAAAAGTCACACGTGTTTAGAGAATCCGTGCGTGCGTGAAACGTCTTTGTCGTTCGAAACCAGACGTTCGATTGATACTTTGTAAATGGAAGAGTTAAGTTATACGCATTATGTACTCGCATTCGAGTGTTTTATACATTGTTAACGGAAAAAAAATGATTTATTGTGACATTGCGGCCTGAAGATATGCCTGCGCGTCGATCGAATATATATTTCACGAGGCGTGTGTATCAACAGCTGACACCGTGCATATAAAAGTATCGGTAAACCTCGCGCGCACAATTATTTTCGGTGCATATGACATTCGATAGCCCGCGCGCGCGCGTATTCCGTCACAGCGCGTCGTATCTCGAGAGCTAAATGTCTATTGACAAACAAGCCCAGAGAGTGGCGGCTTTTTTTATATTTATATACATCGACGATATAGGCAAATTTGAATTTGATGGTGACAGCCGAGCGAAGGTATATATGCATGAAATGTTTATTTTCAATATGCCCGCGCGCGGCATACAGCGAGTCCAAACACTTGCGTATATATATTGTATAAATGTGACAATCAACGGAAAATGATTTTTACGATCAACACGAAAGCTACATTAAGGCCGTTATTTATGTATACGAATCGCACGATGTTCAACTGCGCGAAATATCTCTATATGCGACGCGTCGACGTGCATAGTATGTATATTTCGAAAAGATGTATTTCCAACAAAAAGCGTTGCCATGGATATGATATTCGCGATCGAGTCGGTTCGCGGAGGGCAAATCAAACTCAGTTAGACACAAATGACCATGTGACAAAATCAATACAAGTGACAGTGAAAAGTTCAATGTTTTACGTTCATCCGTGCGCGTGTTAGTTTTTTTTGTTGTTGTATTTTGACGTGTGATTAAATTTTTCGTAACAGCGCTCATCGTCGACCGGTCGACGCGCATTAATTATCTCTCTCTCATTCTCTGGATTTTTCGTTCGCAACATTAATACACCCGTTCTGCACTAAATTCAATTACGACCGATTACTTAAGGTTAAGTTTCACGCCGATGTTTAAACGCTGTTTAAAAAAAAACGATATCAAATACAAAAAGGTAAAGGAAAACATTGCGTTTTGCACGTACAGAGCTCGATAAGAGTCAAATTGTGTTATTAACGAGACTCGCGAGATTAAAAATTTTGTTTGACAAGAAATTCGATTGAAAGGTTTTTTGAAACGCGCATAGGTATCGTAATCTATATATTATAATGGTCTCATTTGAAAACACGCACAATGACCTTTTCATCTCTTTAAATATTTAAATTTTCTCTCTCTCTGCCTCAGTAATACTGTTTTTGACTCTCGTTATTGGTATGCTGCGAAATGAAATTACTCGATACTGCCAGCGATGTAAATAAATGTGCATATGCAATAAGCAGCGAGTTATAATTCATTACTTTCCAAAAGGGTATAATATAAATCTACACGTACTCATGGGTGTGCGTATGGCGAGAGAGAGACGTAGCGAGCAAGCGAATCCAATATTCGCATAGTTATATTGGTAAATGAGTAGATGGTCCGTTGAATTATTCATGACGGGCGCGTTACGAAACTATTAGCATCGCATTACAGTGTGACAGAACAAGTCGTTTAATTTGACAGTTGATATCTCTGCGCGAGCGAGTAGCGTGTGTGCGAGCGGTAAGATAGAGACAGCGCGCAAACGTCACCTTCTTCACCTTCTACCTCTCTACCGAGGAATCTCCGCACGCTGCGCTGTCTATTTTCATTGTTTGACATGATTTGCAATTGTGCGCCTGGAAAGGAATTGAACGTTCTTTTTACATAAAAGCGTCGCGAAGCGTCGAATTGAGAGCGATCGAAAAATATCCCGAGGTTATCTCTCTCTCTCTCTCTCTCTCTCGCCTAAACTAATCAATGCCTTGACACGTTTTTTCTGCAAAAAGCCAATTCTTGTTGTTTCCCGATGACGACGGTTTTTGTTTCGTCACTCGTGTTGTGACACTCGGAATTACGTATCTTTTTACTTCATTATTTGTTAAAATAGAAGTTTTAATCCAACAAAGTAATATTTTAGGCTGTGTATTAGGAAGATCTTAACTTTTCTCGCAGGACGAAGCTCTCTTTCTCTTTCTCTCTTTTCCTCGAGGATAAGTATAAAGCTTCTCGTCTGGACTAATCAATGATTCAACCTACCAATTACGAAAGCTACTTGAAAAATGCTTTTCTTCTCTTGCTTTAGCTTCCAATAT